TAATTCTCATTCAAAATGCTCATTTGCAACGACTCTACAGAAAGAACATTTCATTTTTTTCCTTTTCAAATTATATGAGGATTTCAAAGATGGAAGAAGAAATGCATACAAAGAAGAAAGAAACGGGGAAGCAACACAGAAAGTGATGGTGTAATTTTGAGTCTACAAGGTCCGCGTAACTTACAAAAATTATTAATTTTGTCTCAAAGGCACCAGGCCGCCCGCTACGCCGTCAGTTATGATGCTTGTTTGCGTCAATTGTGGGAATTTATGAGGGAAATATAAAATGTTGTCGAGCAAACTAAAAGTTTAGAAGAATTCTTAAGGCAGTTGAGTGCTAACTTGCGGGATCATAAACAGACTTGGAGAACCTCACGAGTTCGGAAAAGTCGAATGCTCCTTTCTAATATGCAGACTCTACACTTCTTCTAAATTGTGTCTCTTTATAAAATTCTGTTATACCAGCTTTGTGGGTTTTCAAAGTGAAAAACAAACTTTTCCAGGTTTATCAATATTGGTTCCTCACCGGCGGGTTTCCCGCTTTGGCAGTGTCCAGCTCGTCGTTGGGCCTTGAGCTACAGCAACTCAGTCCATCGCCTTGGCCACTGAGACTATCATCTAAGCACAGCCTCCCTCCATTTTTGTTCGCTCAGACTCTCACCACTGCTCCAACAAACTCGGAAGTTTTGGTCAACCTTAACTTCACGTCATTTTTCAGAGTAAACTACGATCCTGTAACTTGGGTCAATATTTTCAGGTAGGTTAGGCTATTCCCATAGTTCTTAACTTCTTACATTCTGTGATTATTGTCATATTTAGTCAAATTGATGAAAACCCAGCGCAGTTTTCTGCCGTGGGTCGGGCTCAGCTGGTCACCGATTTCTGCTATTTTTACGCTCATGATCAGGTGGATCGTGGTACGGCGATTAGGGAGATAGTAACTGATATGGTATGTAGTTGTTCTTCATAGAGTTTATCATGTTCTCTCATTAAGAGTCCCCAATGTGTGCTCACTTTTTGATATTTGATGCCTTTTATTTCCGAACCTTTTCGGAGCACCAATTATTTGAAAAGTTCCACTCACAATTGGGTTTTACATATGCAGCAGTTATGGTAGAATTAGGTGTAAGGTTGTTGGCGGCTATAGTACTAATGTTAAGCACCTGCTCCAAATTTGATTTCAAAGCATCAATACTAGAACTTTACCGTACTTGGACTCG